CAAATTAGGGATACGAATAGTCCCATAGGCTATCATAATAGCCCGGAATTGGGCGAGGCTACGATACCGTAGACCTAACCTAGCTAATGGCTTTTCCAATCTGTGTGCATCGGAACCAGTGGAAAAGGTGTGGAACTCGATCGGAAAAATCTTGCTTTAGGAATGGTAATTGGATCACTCATTCCCCAGTTTTCGAGCCTTCGGCGAAGGCCTCTGTTCATAAACTATAAATAAAAACTAAAACTAAACTTAGTTCAGTCTAAGGCTCTTGTTCACCTTGGTGACATGCAATAACTTTAGCCTGGCTTAGTAGTAGTTTCGCGGTCCATTGGTTTTTCTGCGAGTTCGACATCTCATCGCTTGACTTCCACAGGCATGCATTGGAGAAACCGTAGGCTAGGACTAGGTCCAAATGGGTGTTGGAGTCAGGTATTGAGCTGGAATGAAAGGAGCTGTAGGCTTAGACTTGTGAATGTTCACCCATGGTATGAAATGGTTTGGCATGTAAGTTAGCCCTTCTGTTTGATCTGTCTGGTGCTGGTGGTGTGCACTCCTCATTGTCTCACTCTAGCAGATTTGATGGTTTCTGAAAGTGCACTAAACAAGTCTCATTGAAAGCTCCAGAATGATTTCATTCTTTTTCAGCCTACCAAGCTCAATGTTTCGTTATGATTTATACCTAATCTTTGGCATATGTCATTGGGCCTTGAACTTTTAGGAATAGACTACTGCGGAATCATGGAGTAGACATAGGTTAATGCTATGATTGACCTGGGCATAATGTGTGTGGTTTTCTTTAATGCCTTTCCTTGGTACCAATAGCTATATAAACACATAATCAATGGGAGCTTACAGTGCTGGAGATGTTCGAACACTTGCGTTACAGTACAAATCCTGGGCCTGTGGAAGAAAGCAGCTGAACCTAGGTTTGCTGAGAATTGATGATGTGCAATTTTTGAAGTGAGCACTCCATTGGAGATTGATCATGTGGGAAGATAGTTTCTCTCAAGAGACATGGCACCACTGGCTGCTTGAAGCCATCCAGAAAGTTAAACAGCAGAAACAGAGGACGTCCATTGAGCGTCTCATCAATGCTATCCGCCAGCATCATTCAATTGATCCAAAGATCATTGAAGATCAACTGGAGAAAGCAGTGGCAGATGGAGTTGTCTTGAAGGTCTTTAATCAGGGTAGAAGTTCATACAAAGATCCTGGTCATCACACACGGCAGCTAGAGCTCTCCAAGGGAGCTGATTTGACCAAAATCTTTGTGAAGTCACTCCGGGAATTGGCTGGAGAAGAAGGATCTTCCTTAAAAAGTGTTGAAAGATATGTGCTTCAAAGTTATTCAGTGTCTGCCTGTGAAGGTGCAAGTTTGGCTTATCTGTTGCGAGTCTCTGCCAAACGAGCTCTTGCACGTGGGCTAGTGAAACAGGAAGGTAGACTTTATCATTTGACTGGCCTAGCTGGAGGAGTCCTATCCCATAAGCCTGAAAAAGAAACTTTCATCAAGAAGAAGAAGACACCTAGCCAAAAATCTAACAATGAAAGACTGAAGAAGGGCTCTACCACCGACACTGAAGTAAGTTCCCGAAATATTATCAGCTTTGTGTTAAAAGCCTACTGGGTGTAGAGAAGCAGCATGATTTTAATATCTTTGTCCCCAAACAAATGAGGTTTGGGGGTTAGCTTTATGTTCCCTATAGCAACAGGATGAGGGTGAGTCTGAGTATGCCAGACCCAGATTAAATATGCCATGCTTTTCATTATGCGGAGGGTTTTACCAATGTCTTCTCAGGTCTACCAATAGACCCCCATCTTGGCTTTTTTTTTCTTAGGGTGGGGGTGTGTATTATGGCAGGTCAGTCCAAAAATCTTAATTGTCATTTGTTTTACTGCTTCAGACATTTGAAAAACCTCCAATAGATGGAGGAGTCTGTCCCTTGTTTGGTAACACTTCAGCTTAACATTTAAATTTGTCTCCATGCCCCTTAGGCAAGGTTACTATTAGAGCCATGTATATTTTAACATGGATAAACTCTAATCCAGTTTTTCTTGACAGGGCATGCACCCCATTTTGCACAGTAAGTGTTGCAAATCCATTGCACATTACAAGCCTTGGCAATCTGAAATGGCCATGTCACATGCCCTGCCCAGGCCCCTGCATCTGCTAGCATGCATTCTTGTGCCATAGCCTTCCTAGACGTATACTGTACTCAGGTTGGTCTGGGGACCAACCCAAGTCATGTTGTACAAGTCAGATTTTCTTATGCCCTTCTGGCCTAGGTGTCATCATTCTGGTGTGATCCACCATTGCAACGGTGCAGTTGGTGGAGTCCTATAATTCTCTCTCTGATTCAGTGTCAAAGGCCAAAGAGTGAGTGGAGAGTCAATCTTTTTATGGGGAATAATGGGTCAAGTGGAGTTAGGAAAAGTTTTGGCTGTGATTATTTTCTAATCCATCATTCTCAAAAATAGGTTGACTTGCACTTTTTCAGACCAACCATAGAACAAATGCTGCTCATTTGATCCATGTATATCACTTCTTCCCTGAAGTTTGTTTGGGTTTATAAAAAGCCCAAAAGAGCTATTGAAAAAATTAGTCTGTGTCTTGAGCCCTGAGATGATTACATTATTCAGTGGGAGGATACAGAGACAGCAATGGACCTCACTATTGCAGCAAAATAGAGCATTTTTTGCCTCCATCCAACATTGCTACCTCCATCTCCAATGTTCTCAGTAGAAAATTATGCAAGTACTGTAAGGGGATCTGAACCAAATGCATCAGTCAAAGAATCCCCCTGCTTCTTGCACCAATAATCTTGAAGAACTCTATTAGACCTATCACAGGTGACTTTGCAAATACACTGGTCAACATTTGAAGTGGATCACTATTATTATCCTTATTTACTTTTCTTCCATGTAAGCTATGAGTCTAACTCCTATTGAAATCTTAGCCCGATCTTCTTAGGCGTATTATGAAACAATGTTTTGGCCCTTGCCTTAAAGGGATAAGGGAAACTTTCACAAAATCTGTTCACCTTGAATAACGAAGGACACTCATAGTTAGCATTTTGACTTATCCAGTGTGTGCATTCAGTATCCTTGTTTTGCCCATGGCTCAGAACTTCATGTCAGTGCTCAGGGATGTCTCTCCAGTGCCTAGATGTTGAGCAGTTGGGTCGTGCTGTTGGTTTACTAGCAACGGGCCTATCACAAAGAAGAGTTGCTTATGCTTTAAATGTATCGCAGAGTGTTGTGTCGAGAGCTTGGAACCGCTACCTAGAGACGGGTACTGTACAGTTCAGACATGGTGGAGGCAGACAAAGAAGAACTACCCCAGCCCAAGACCGATACTTGATTTTGACAGCCAACCGAGACCGATCTACCACGGCAAGATCTTTACAAGGACAGTTTTACAGAGCGACGGGGTTGCAAGTATCGACCCAAACCATTCGTAGAAGACTTCATGAAGGTGGTCTCAGGTCAAGAAGACCTGCCCGTCATCCACCGCTGACTGGGCGGCATCGTGCAGCTCGTTTAACGTGGGCCAGAGAACACTTGAATTGGGAACTTGATCGTTGGCAAAACTGCTTGTTTTGTGATGAGTCAAAATTTGTTCTTCGGCATGACAGTGGACGCTATCGAGTCTGGAGAGAGCAAGGTATGCGATATAATCCTGCTCTTATGGTCCCACGACACATGCATGGTGGAGGCTCAGTAACAGTCTGGGGTGGCGTTTGCTTTGATGGCCGCACAGAGCTAGTAGTGTTCACAAATGTGACTGTAACAGCTCAACGATATCTGAATGATATCCTTCGTCCTATTGTGGCACCGTTTGCTGAAAGAGTAGGTTCAAATTTTTTGCTAGTGGATGACAACGCACGTCCTCACAGAGCCAGGATAGTAAACAATTTCTTGGATGAAGCGGGTTTGCATAGGATGAACTGGCCAGCACTGTCTCCTGATCTCAACCCAATCGAGCATATCTGGGATTTGCTCCAAAGACGTCTCGACAACCGCCCCCACGAACCACAGTCCATAAACGACTTGAGTAGAGCACTTCTTCAAGAATGGGATGCTATACCTCAGGAGGCCATCCAAAATGTAATTAGCAGCATGAGAAGGCGATGTGATGCTGTGATTCGGCAAGAGGGGGTCCGACAAGGTACTAAGATTGCAATATTTCTTGAAATTCTCCGTGCAACCAAGAAAATAAAGTTGGCGGCTGATGTGCCTTATTGACAGGAGTTGGAAAAAGTTATTCTTTTGGTAACCTAAAAGGCCAAACTGAGTAATTCTTTTTGTGTTTGTATCTCTAAAGAATATTCTGTAATAAATACTTGCAAAAAACTCTAAGTTTCCATAGCACGATAAACTCATGACCTACCTAAGTGATCCACTTCAATCGTTGAGCAGTGTATTTGAATTGTGGAAACTTGGGAATGCCCAAATAATTTCAAATGATCATCTGAATGTCCACATGAAACTGAGATATTGATTCTTCTCTTCCAGTTCTATTAACCCTTTCATGCATGGTGTCCACTATAGTGGATGGCAAAATTTTTGGCAATTATGGTTTTTTAGCCATGGTACACAACTCAATACTTTTGGTGTATGCAGTCAACTCCAAGGGACATAATCTCTTCCATGCTGCTTTCTTGCAGTGAAGCATGCGACTACTACAACAGAGTACCTTCTTAAACATGAAAAGAAAGAGAGAAAAAATGTTCTTTTGAAAATTTTGAATTTTTGGCCTCAGAAAGACCAGAACTACATTAGTTTAGTCTGTAAAATAAAAAAATGAATTTAAATTTAATACTATGACCCCTGCAGAGTGTATTCAAATAGCCAGGGCTCAAATTGTTAAGTCTGGTGTTTTCAGGTGAGTGTGATCACTTAAATTTAAACAGGTACTTCTGAGTTACATCATTCTGTTTATGTATTAAGACTTATGAATCACCCTGTATATGAGATAATGAAGGTCCCTGGGTTTTCCCATCTGGATGATGAGAAAAATGCTTTGGGGTGTAGGCATGCCCTGCGGGAATACAAGATCCACAAGGGGTTGGAGCATCCTCGCATTGTCCGACTCTATGACGTGTTTGAGATTGATGCCAATTCCTTCTGCACGGTGCTGGAATATTGCTCTGGGCATGACCTGGACTTCTACTTGAAGCAGCACAAATCCATCCCTGAGAGAGAGGCTCGGTCCATCATCATGCAAGTTGCCTCTGCTCTCAAATACCTGAATGAGATCAAGCCTCCTGTGATCCATTATGACCTCAAGCCAGGTAAGAGTCAAAAGGATATCATCAGGTTTCACAAATCATCATGAAAATTTTAAGCTTCATTTATTTCAATCATTACTGCATTGTTCCATTACCATCACATTTGTTTCTAGGAAACATCTTGCTGACAGAAGGGCAAGTGTGTGGTGAAATTAAGATCACAGACTTTGGGTTGAGCAAAGTGATGGACGACGATGTGTATAATCCCGATCATGGGATGGATCTCACCTCTCAAGGTGCTGGGACATATTGGTACCTCCCACCAGAGTGCTTTGTTGTTGGCAAAAATCCCCCCAAAATCTCCTCCAAAGTGGATGTCTGGAGCCTTGGTGTCATCTTTTATCAGTGTCTCTATGGGAAAAAGGTGTACAACCCATTCCTCTTCATTTCTTTTTAAGCTATTTCACTTTGTTGCATCCATATATCACTTTTCTCCTGTTTTTCAGCCATTTGGGCATAATCAGAGCCAGGCAACAATCCTGGAAGAGAACACCATCCTGAAAGCAACCGAGGTGCAATTCCCTTCCAAGCCAACTGTGAGCAATGAAGCCAAGGTGAGGATCTCTGACAGGGTTCTATTTAGAAGCCCAGTAAACTGGTGTTACAGAAGGACTTATATTCCCTGTCCCTTGCTTTCTCTTCAAACAGGACTTTGTGCGATCATGCTTGCAGTATAGGAAAGAGGACCGAATTGATGTTGTGCGCTTGGCAAATCATGATTATCTCCGCCCCCCGGTGTCGAAGACGCGCCAGACCCACAGCCAGCTGATCAAGGGGGACTCTGGTAAAGTGACGTCCATGGGTGGCGTGACTGCCTCTTCCACCTACCCTTCCTCCAATCATCAGCCTCAGTTGAACTTCACCTTTGGGGCAGCCCTCCACAATAATTGATTGATGGAGGAGGAGGTCTCCTTTCACCACATGTGATGATGGAATGTGATTCCAAAATGCTGTGCTGCAGGAGTGAAATGCGTTTGCCATTCACCCTTCCTCTCCCTTTCCCCCTCCCCAGGGCTTTCCCAGTGTGTGGACGTGTAATCGACTCTTCCTTCTCCTCTCATGGGAAGTCCGTGTGATAATAGGAAGAAAGAAAGAATGGAAATGTTCACACATCCCATATTGTGATATGAGGGAGAGACAAGGAGACAGTTCTTTTTTCTTCTCCTTTCTTCTCTCTCGCTCCAGTTTTCTTCTCCCGTTGTGTTTGTTATGTTCAAGTGAGAATTCCACTGGTTTTTTTTCCTTACAACACTTCATTTATTCATTGATCCACATGTTCTTGATACAAGATCATATGGCATGAAGAAATGGTGGGACTCATTCCATGAATGAGAGGGAATCTCTCAACCTGCAGCATGGTCCCATGTTCATGAGCTTCCTCCAATGAGCAGACTCTTACCCCTGCCCTTTTTATCCTCTGCATCCCATTTTTCCCCCACTGTTGTTTTTTTTTTCACATTTCAGCATCCCATCACTCACAGCTATGAGTAGAGGAGCCAATGATTTGATCATGAGTTGCCTTCTCAGAGTGCAATGCACCCTAATTGATGAATTGGCTTCTTTGGAATTTTTTTTTACACTTGCTTCATGGTTGCTTTGCTAGTTTCATGATAAGACTTTTCATGGTTCAGTCAGTACACAAAGCTGGCAGTTGTTCAAAAACATGTCATACTGATCAGGTTCCTTCATTTCTATACAGTGTTTGATGAGCGGAGTAGTTCCACTGTGCTTGTTCATCCTTTCCTTTCTCCCTTCCCCGCTTCCTTCCCTCATTCCCCTTCTCCCTTCTGGATGTATCATTTGTAAATCGAATAATGAGGAAGCAAACATAGAGATTCTATTGGAATAAATGGTTGGCAAGCCATACAGGTACTTAAGCTGTCTAATGATTTTATTTGTTTTTGAATTTCAATCGATTCTCATTCTGACTCAATGGCCATCCCCAGCCAGCACAAGGAAAGCATCAAAGTTCTTCTTTAGTGTTTTCCTTGCGTTGCTTTCTCCGAGGTCGGACGTCGTCTGGTGTGAAAGTGACCTCATGCATCTTGGTAACTGTGGATTTTGTGTGTTTCGGCAAGGGAGGAGCAGATGGGTCTGCATCTGCCAAACTTATCTGTGCTTCCATCTCCAACTCCATCCTAGATAAGAAAAGGTACGAATCAAATATGGTTCTCCAAGAATAGATAGACCTACTGGAATTTAACGATTTTTAAACGTTTCCCCTCATTACTACAAGGTAGATGAGATTAGCGATAACTGGAAGGAAGAGATGCTGTTTACTAGAGAAGTTTCCCTATTGACACTGACAAGTTTTTACAGATTCAGTTCCGTTTATGTTAACCCTTTTGTGGGCAGTGGAAAGTATTTTTCCCAGAAAAGCTTTGACCCTCTCGGTGCCCTGGTAAGTCTTCCTCTATATTACACCCGCCTCATCTACTGGTGACTGTGAAAATGTTACCTGTCGCCCATGGGGCCTGTAGGAAAGCCATTTTGGAAGAGATATGTAAGCATAAGACCTGTTCAGGCAACACCTGCAATAAGTAAAGTAGTGATAATTACGGGACAAAATCGGGTGAGAAGTGAAAAAAAAGTTTGTTTGCCCTTCGGACAAACCAACTCGCAAATAATTTGCCCTCAGGTTTTACCTAAAAGTTTTTTTTTTTTTTTTTTACTCAAATCAGTACTTGGAGAACCACATATGTATCAAGTTTCAGCCTTATTCGTTTGCTCTTTTTGCTGGTGCAAAAATATCTTTAGAAAAGCCGACGCATTCAAAAGCTGTGCCCTGAGGGTATACACCTCAAAACTTGAGGTGCATACCCTCTGAGGTGAATTTTTTCTGAACTCACCATCACCTCAGGTATTGGTGTGCCCAGTTTCAGTATTCTATTTCTGCACAATTCAGTAGGACAAAAAAAAATTTGAAAACGCCACCAAAGAAAAATATGCCCCCAGGGCATGCATCTGAAAATCTTTTTCCTGAACTGAGTGTCTCAGTAGGCACGTCCATGCCAAGTTTCAGCTTTCCATGTCTCTCCGTTTGACTGAAGCAAATATATATCATTGAAAACATCTCCCCCCTAAATGAGGGGATATATATAAATATATACAGGGTGTCTCAAAAGGTAGGGAAACATTTCAAAAATGAATATCTCACTAAATTATGCCTCAAATAAAATTATGAAAACTGTAAAATAAAGTGCAGCTAAAACATTTTTCAACCTGTTATTCAATTCCACATGGGCACTATTAGTGGCTCTGTAGGCGTGAAAACGATGTTCAAGCTCTTACCACAACCTACGCAGTGTCATGTATAACTGTCTGGATAGCCGCATCAGTTCTGTTCTTCAGATCAGATTGAAGATTGCTTACTTAAGAAAAGTCGACAATGTCCTTGACATAGCCCCATAATAATTTTTTTTTTTTATCCCAAGAGGGATGGGTTCAAGCACAATAAAAGTTTAATTTTCTAAGATGTTGCAAAGCCACATTTGAGCAAGCTAAGGCATGGAAAAGAAAACTGTGGACTGGACAAAGCAGGCTCATTCCATGGCCATCAAGATCACTTGAACTAACCCTAGAGGACTTTTTCTTGTGGGCTAGGTCAAGGACTTCGCTTACTGGAGAAAAGTAGACTATCGATCAGGATCCAAAGAACAGAATCGTCCGAGCTGTCCTGATAGTTATGCCTAACACTCTGCAAAAGGTGTAGCTCGAACATCGCTTAGACATCTACAGAATCACAAATGGTGCCCATAGCAGTATGGCTTGCAATAGCAGGTTGAAAAATGTTGCACTTCATTTTACTATTTTAATCATTTTATTTTATGCATAATTTAGAGATATATTAATTTTTTTAATGTTTCCATACCTTTTGGGACACCCTGTATATTGTATCGAGTGGAATTTCTCAAAATGAAAGCGGTGGAAAAAGGAAACAAACATAATTTTTTCGTTCGCATATGCGAAAATATCTGTCCATGAAAGGGGTTCACAAGCTCGCCTACCAATAGCTATCCATACCAAGCTAGTTTTTCCTAATTTTCTTGTTAAGTGAGATTCAGAGCACCTTGCTGGGTGCTAGATGCTACGATGCTTCGCGTCCTAGCGCAGATACAGGTTGGTGACATTGTAATACGAACTTATCGGTTGTATTGTTATATTTCCGGTCCAGAAATGTTTCTGGAAGAGGATAACTGATTGCAGGTCTTCCAACATTTCTGGACTAGAAATTTCCAGGTCGCTGGATCGTAAGAGGTTGTTCTATCCCTTGGCCGCCGCGATCACCTTACATCACCCCCCCTTGATTTCCTTTCATGGGGGTACGTCAAGGGCGTCGTCTTCAGAACTAAGTGTCATATTACTGAACTCAGGTGCCGAATCTGTGATGCACTCGCCACAGTTACTGCCGACATTGAGAAATACCTGGCGTGATATTGAATATCGGCTGGACATTTTACGTGCGACTAACGGTGTCCATGTTGAAGTTTACGGAGGAAAATTTGTGAATAATAAAAACTTCAGACTGTGCTTCATGCATTGGTGAAAGCCATTCATATCTATCTCTATTACTGTACGAGAAATAGATTTTTTTAAATGCACAAATCATTTTCGGACACCCTGTATTTCAACCTAAGCTACCAGTGATGTGTATTAGATTTTCCCGAGAGGAAGATGTCAGGTAGCAGGATGCTGTGACTAAATATCTGGAAGTAAACCTAAATACAGTAACCTCGTCATTTCTCCAAATCCGTGGTGCGACAGGTATACCCCATACATAGCACATTCAAATCACCAGGGCTGCATTATTGATGACCAATAAAGACACAAGGGATCGAAGGAATTTCTCTACAGAACGGAAGTTCACCGTTCTCCATCATTTACTGCGCATTATTACGTCAACTTCACAGGTTTTGCTTCTCCTTCATACTCCCATTACATTGGATATCCATGGGATTTGGATTCGTCTCCAAAGCGAGCAATCTCATGCAATAGATCACCTCCGAAGCAAGATCATAAATTTGTTTCAGCCCTCTGATGCAATAAAATAAACTTTGACCGAGACGAAAGAGATGAGAGAAAGGATAATTAATCCGTCAGCCAAGGAGAGCGTATACCAGTGACGTCATCGCGCTTCGAAACCCCACCTCCCGCGTCCTTTGCGTCACTGCTTGGATAGGAAGGCAGGCAAACTCAAGCACACGCATTTCCACTTACATGCAAGGGTTTTCGCAAAACCCAAGGCTTGCGTGTGGAATTGGGGTCAGTTCAATTCGGGACGTCCGCACGCATGCACACGAAGGAGAAGTTTTAGGAGCGAAAGCTCGCCCGAGTGCGTCGAAATGCTGTCATACCTACGTGACTGGGCGCATTGGCATACTATCGGCACCGATCGAGACGCAGCTACGAATGCAAAACATGCAAACATGAAAATCTTGAGCTTCCTACATTCCTTTCTATATCGCACGGGTGGTACACAAGAGACGCAAAATGTGAAACGGTCTTTACACTTTCAACCCCGGTGATGTCATGGTGCTATGGTGATAGGACGTCATATGGAAGGTTATGGGGCTGAAAGTGTTAAAATGTAAAAGATGGATGAATCTGATTTTCTACGATAGGTCCCTCCCCTCCACCCCACTTCGACTTTCTACTGTTGATTTCAGTCTCTTATTCTCGGCTTCAGATGCTTTAAGTGCTTCGATGCGTCCTACTCTTCTTATTGCAAAAGAAAGAACTCGAAGAATCTGCGGTCATTCTAATAGACGATCCGCTTTACTACCATCTTGGCCTTTACCTGCACAGGAACGGCACGTCCGCAAAGGGAATACCGTCACAATAAAAGGTTTGGTTCGCCGTTACTGTTGAAGTCTTTACAGGGAATTCCGGGGTGTCAACCTCTCGTCATTATCATATCTATTTCATCTACTAAACGCAAACGCTTCTTCGTACGAGAAGGGGCATTCAGAGTGCTGTTACGAGTTGGTTGTGAGAACACAGTTGGGCCTGTGGGGCCATAGAAAGGCAAACCGTCGGTGTGGCTGTCACGCTAGGCGGATGAAATGCGCAAGGCACATGCGCATTCCCTATCCCTTCTCCTCCCGCCCCTGTGTTTTTTCTATACTCCCTTCGCAGCTCTATTCCCTCACCAGGAGCAGAGTGGCGCAGTGGAAGCGTGCTGGGCCCATAACCCAGAGGTCCGTGGATCGAAACCACGCTCTGCTACCTCTACCCTTTTTTTTCTTCTTTCTCCCCCCCAGTACTCACACATCCGCATAACGATGACAGATAAGGGTGAAAGCACCATCCCCGGGGAAGATGAGGAGATCATCATGTTGAAGTATCACCGTGTTCTCCCAGCTCCCGTTCACCTACGAGGGACCGATTTGGATTTCCAATTTCTTTCCTTGTCCTTTCTCGATCACCTTGATTGGGAAATAAATACTCCAGACCTTCTTCGTGTGACAATCATGAAAAGGGATACGAAGGAGAAATTCCTTTCCTCCGTCCGGGTCGAGGAAGCAAGGCGATTTCTTGTCGTGATAGCTACCCCTGGTGTAGATAACACCGAAAAACTCCGCCTCCGTCTTCATCAGCACCTGGCAATGGGAAAAGGCCCAGTCTGTCCAGTCGAGTGTGTGTTAAGTCCTTCTCGTCTCTTTTGTTCCAAACTCTCACCTCCATGCTCTCATTAGTGCAACGAAGAGTGATGGATTCGTAACCCGTTCGGGAAGGACCGATCTTCATATCTTCTCCCATATCCCTCTCCCAAATTTCTGGGAAAATGGATAGATTTGTACATGAAATTGTAGGACGTGCATGCACGGGGCGGTCTGGGATTTCCGACAGGAGCCTGCCTGCTTCGAGGAAGCACACTCGTAGAAGGAGGAAGAGAAGAGTGGAAAGAGAACGGTACTTCATTCTTCTCACAGCACTCCACTTTAAATCACATACGCACTCACTTGCTGCACAGACAGGAAAAAGAGGGAAATAAGAAATCAGTAGCGGTTTTCGCCATCCTTTCCCTCTGGAACGGTTTAGTCGGGAGGGAAGCCCATGGAGGATCCCTTCCTTCTGCCTTCTTCCCTTCGGGGCTTTTTCTCCTGCGGACGTTCACCCTCGTTCATAGCGGTAGCCTATGTTGCTTTTCCGATTCATCCTCGCATTCGCAGAATGGTTTGGTTTGGCTTATCGATGGGAATTTCATTCTCTTGCTCCATCTTTGTCAATGCTCTCACAAGGATTAAAAGGCAAGGATTCTCGAATCCCTCGTCGAGTTACAGATCCTAACATCCGTAGCATAGCTATGATTTCCCGCTTCGACTCCCCTTAACGATCCTCTTATGATGATGTTAAAAATATGAAAGCGTCGTGAAACCCGGCTCAAGGTTACGGGCACATTGTTTTAGTTATCCATGTGATATCTGCTGGAGGGGGAGAAGGGGGGGAGGGATGCACGAGACGTCGCACATCTCAAGCGTGATAGGGGCCGGTTCAGGTCATGAAATCGGAACGAGGAGAACCGGCATCCTGTCGCAATCACCGAAAGTTTTTCGTCGAAACGAATGGCAAATCTGTCAAAAACTGTAAATACATTTTAGAAGAAGATAGAGGAAAAATCTAGTGATTTCATTCCGCTCTCAACGGAAGGAACCTGAAACCTACGGGAGAAGACCGGAAACGGGTTACGTGAGGCATGCGAGCAACCATTGGACCTTCACTCACACGGATGAATCATTCCATGAAAGGGAATTTTCAGGATCTCTACCAGCTGCTATCATCCGTTCCCACCGATGTATGGGAATGGTTTCGTAATAAATCATTTCGCAGATTCCATATGGTTAAAGTCGAAAATGGAGTGGTGCTTCATCCAAAAGCATTAGGGGGAGATGGCGCTCTATATATCTATATATAATAAAATAAATAAAATAATATATATGGAATATAAAATAATATATATTTGGAGTCGGTTGTCTTGATTAGCCAGCTTTGGGATTTCATTACTTTTTTATAGGACTAGGAAAAACTTCTTACTGCGCAACATCGAGTGGGATGTTGGTTACCTGAGCATCGCCATCTCCACATTCATAGAACACAATGCACTGGCTGCTAATGAGTAGCATAGGTGCGAACCTTAATCAGCTAATGATTTGTGATTTTGTGGTGAATGTGAGAGACTTAAGCTGTGGACGCCCTCATCTGCTCTCTGTTCGGGCAGAAACTGTTCCTCTTCTTAATCTTTTTCATTCCTAGTGCGGAGATGTCGAAAAGGGTCAAGTTGCACCACAAGCTGATGGCAGGGTCGTGCCCCTGACGAGACTCCTGCACGGCCTGGTGGCACTTCAGGCTAATTTCGCTTTCTTTCTCTTTTTTTTGTGGCTTCTTCGCAGTTCTTCAGTTGTTTCAGTCCACTTAGGCTAGGGATCTGCTGCGGATGGACATCCTATGTTTATACCTCCATATATATATATTTTGCAATTTCCTATTGGTGTCTGGTTATGGCATGTCTGCGGACATTCTCAGAGTTTCAAAGTATGGCATATACGAGGCGTGATCAAAAAGTTCCGAGACTGCATTTTTTATGACGCTGTGGTGACTCTTTCCGACTGCTAATGGTTATATCCTTTAAACTAGTCCTCTTCGACATCTACGCAAATTTTCCGGTGTTTCTTCAGCTGCCGGAAGCATTGCTGACACTCATATTTTGGAGTCACCAGCAGCGCGTGCGTCGCGTTTACCATTTTGCTTTGAATGCCTTAAATCTCCATAATTTCAGCACATTCTTTAGGTTAGGGAACAAAAAGAAATTACTAGGAGCTAAATCCGGCGAGTTGGGTGGCTGATGAAGCTCGGGGATTGCAAGGTATATCAGAAACTGCTGAAATTGCAAAAGAAAGGAAATCTCAGAACATTTAAAACAGCGTTACGAACGCGCCACGAGCGCTGCTGGTGATTCCAAAAGATGTCAACATTGCTTCCGGCGGCTGAAGAAACGCCGGAAAATTTGTGTAGATGCCGAAGAGGACTACTTTGAAGGATACAGCTATCAGTAGTCAGAGAGTCACCGAAGCGTCATATAAAAAAAATGCTGTCTCGGAACTTTTTGATCACACCTCGTACTTCATTCTTTAACACCTATGAATGAGTACTGGAGTTTCAAGGTCATGTTATTCTTTATTGCTTCTTTCTTGAAAGGCTACAGGCCTTACGTATCGTTTGAGGTTTTGTTTTCTGTCCAAGTTACACCTTCTGTCATTGTGAGTCAGGAGCTCATTACCGTACCTCAAGTAAAACGGAAGTAGGGTTCCAAGATTCCAGACCTCCACATGTGGAGATGACTAAAGGAATTCATTAAGGCAGACACAAGGAATCCATTACAGGTGGTGAGAGCTCATCAGGTGCTGAATCCAGCAAGCGTTGCTCCTCTGGAAAGAAAACCCGACCCAAGTCTACTTCACCTTCGCGCCAGGGACCCCAGTCTTGCCAAGTAAGACAAGAGAGAGCCATATTAAATGGCAGCTATGCGTGTCTTTTCTCCTTCATCTCAGTGTGACAGTGATTCGGGCCAAATTCCAACTGGGGAGGGAAAAAAAGCGTGGCTTTTGTTCTTATTACTCCCTCTCTTTCTCTTTCTCCTTTCTCTCTTACTCTCTCTTCTTGGAGTGATGAAGTGCAGCCAAGAAACCAGAGTCAAGAATTCCATGGGTGCTGATGCTCAAGGTCATTGCATGTGGAGCAAA